TACCTTATAGCAGATTTTTATCATGACAAAAGTAGGTATTTTGAAAAACAGAATAGTTTGGAAGTGACTGAACTTGCGTAAACAGAGATAGTGCTCAACCTTTTTTGCTAGATCAGCTTCTTCCTACACTCCCCATCATTGCTGCAACCAGAAAGATCTTTATTGCCTTCAGATGTTGTCACCTGCATAAACAAAGCAGTGATCATGTTGTCTCATTTTTGAGCCTTCACATGTCTTTAAATATGTGCTTGTTCTTGAAAGCTGAAGCAGGGGCCATAGACGGGAAAAGCTTAAACTAGTTGTAGAAGCTAGATAAGCTAAACTGAGAGCTGGAAGATGACATATAAATGGTAGGATAATTGCCCGAATTTCTTTTTCACTTAAAGCATCTGAAAATTGGAACCTAATCTTTCAATTCCAGCACCATCTGAAGTGAGTAGGGTAGCTTTGGAAAGAAGCATGGTCTATATGAGAGGTTTTTGTGCTGACACCTGAGGTGTGTCACTCCTGTGCATACCTTGCACTGCATTTGAACTTGGCATTTGCTTTAGTTATGTCACATGGAAGAGGTGTGATTTCCTGCATCTCTTCAAACTGTTTTCAAACACTTTTTTTGTCTGGTTTAGATGGGACATTAAGAAAAGCAGCTTCCCCAGGAGGCTAGTGTGGCACTGGAGCAGGATTCCCAGAGAGATGGGGAATCATCTCCCTGGGAGCTTTCCAAGGCAGCTGGGAAAACCAGTACCCCTGTGAGGGGTAGGTTGGATCATCTCCAGAGATGCCTTCCAATCAATGTTTCTATCAATCCAAAAAAAAAAAAAAAAAAAAAAAAAACCCACAATTTTTGGGGGGATGACCTCATGAAGATAAGCTTGCCTTGGAATATGACTTTTATTAGGACACTGGCATGGCGAAAATATGAACTGAATCTAGCGTAAAATAGTGGGGCAAATGTATCTTCACAAGCAAATATTTAATGGTCTTCCCGTGGGACTGGCTGCACTGTAACCTACAAATGATTAACCTTCAGGGGCCTTGAAATGAGGTCTCACTGGTGGTTGTCAGGGGGTTATATGGTGTAAGGTAATTTGGGGTGTTCTTTTGTATCAGAAGAACAGCTGAGCAGCACTGCTTGCCTGTCAACAGCAGATCTTGCCAGGTGATGTGTTCAGCAGGGCAGACAACTTGCCAATTAAGAAAGGTGGAAAGAAAAACGGGACATATTGGGACTTAAACCAGAGGAAGCTGTTGACGTCATGTTCTCCTTTTCTTTGCATTAGTCATGCTTTAAAATACATAGAAAAATGTTGTTGATTGGAATATATATTAATATGAGTAGGCTGCAGAACTTTATGTGGGCTTTCCAGTATATCACAATATTAGTTTAAGCTTGAGGTCAAAATTCATCATTTTTCTATGTCTGTCTCTCCCACTTCCCTCTGTCACCTTCTTCCTCCCCTTTTATTTTTTTTAAACCACCCACAACAGATGTTATATTAAGTGTCATAGTTCTGGCTACAAATAAATAAATTCTTGTCAATCAGAGCTGTCAGTTGAAGTCCCAAATGTGTCTCCCTTGCCACTTCGATCTCAATAAAGAAATCTCTGTGTCAAGTTGAAGAAAGAAACAATGAAAAATAAGGGGAGGGCTTTCTGCTTGAAACACAGCTCCAGGGCAGTATGAGAAAAGTATTTTTGTGTTTTTCTGGTATATTTCTGTACTGCCCTTTGTCATGTTAAGTGACTCAAGCATAAGGGAAAGGTTGAAGTCCTACACTGTTTCTTTAGTCGGCTTTATGAAATTATTTCCAACCTTACTGGGTTATAAGATAAAATAGGGAAGATTTACTTACACAAGTCTCAACCCAAACTGTTTGTATGCTCCAGACAAAACCTTATCTTTTATCAACAGAGGAAACAAATCAAAGAACATTGTAAAGCTTTATAGTGATCTTAAAATATGCTTCTACATTATTCTTATAAATATACATTAAATAAATGTTAATTAATGAATATACATGAAATTGGTATTTTAAAATGAGGAGACTGTTTGAAAGATGATGATTTTGCAGCATGTTTCAAGGTAAACAAATGACAGATCACTTATTTCCTTTGGAGTTTGGTTTGCCATCTGTTGCACTGTAATCCTGCCACCTCTGCTCTTGATGTACTGTAACTTTATTTAGCTGCACGGTCCAGAAGAATCAACCTTCTACAGGACATAACAGAATCTCAGTCTGTGCCCAAATTTAAAATTGGGTGCAAGACTCTTGGTGCCATTGAGAAAAGAATGAAAAAATTGCTCCAATTTCTGGAGAGTCCTTTCCAACAACAAGGAACTGCTTTTTGGAGTGCGAGGCTGTGGTATTTTACTGAAGTCTCTTATTTTCTGGTGCATCCGTCAGCACTCCATAACTTAGCAGCCCGTTCTGGAGCAAGCATGTGTGGATATTTCTGTGGCTGTATCTTTATTTCCTGTGACCTTGCAAATGCAATAGGCAACTTCTAATACTTCAAATGATTTTTTTTTTTTAATATGAAGCTTTTAAGAACAAAAGTCACTTTTATTGAGAGAGAATCTGAGGTAACCCTAGATAGAGGGAAATTTTTGGAGAATTGGAAGAATGCAGTTATCAACTGACCATTTTTAGTTGGAAAAGGGGCAAGATTGTTGCTGTAGGTTAAGATTGATCACAACATTGCACAGAACTGTATTTTTATTGCTACAGGCTTTAAAACAAGGTTTTGCTCTATTGCTCTTCTTGATCTTGGTAATAAAACTTGTCTTCCCGAGGAAATCTTGAGAAGAGTTTTCTCAGTTCCAAAATGTGTTCTTAGCAATAGATTCCTTGCAGCTGAGGAGGAACCAAGTCCAAATTGTGGTTTAATACTGAGAGTTGAAATGATGGAACAGTGTAATGGAGTAGAATGGTCTCTGAATTCACAGCTATGCAGCTTGAATGGGCTTTTATCTCAGGTACTTGCCGTAGGTAATTATGTTTGTACACGACCCAGGATTGAACTCCTACTTTCTGTTAAAATGTGCAGGAATTAAAAATCTCCATTTTTCTCCTACCGATTAAAGCAAGAAATCTTTTTAAGAAAACGTTCTTTATTAGAAAATCCAAGACTTTCACAGTAGACTTTGATTTTTACTGTAAAATGAAAGGAGGAGAAAAACTTTCAGACAAAAATGCTAATCATGTTCTCTGTTAGTGCTTTTGTATTGCATATTAAGTGAGTATTTGCCTACCAGGGCAAGTTCTGTGTCTGTGTACACATCTATATTCCCTAAATGCAGTCATCTTTGGACTAAACCGTGGGGTATTTTTCCAGCTGGGGAAGAATGCAGCTTATCCTTTTTAAAATACCTATCCAGAAATGTGGGTGGACTGTGCTTTGTTAGACTCGAATCATATGTTTGTTTGTTGCACTCGCACCATTAATATGCCAGAAGTGGCACTTTTACACTTGGTTTGTTCCACAATAAGTACTCTTTAAATGGCTAATGATTTCACCATGGGAATTTCACATTGTGGGATGATAAATGGAGGGCTTGCATTGTTTTCCGGTCTCTCTGCTCTCGCCAGAAAGAAAGGAAATAAATTTGAATTTGCTAGGAAGAGCTTGCAACTTTCAGGCACTGTAAAAGACGCAAATCTTTCCTAGGGAATTATGTTAGGCCTGTGTGTTTTTATAGCCCTTTGGAAAGCACTGTGACAAGGTCAATAGTTCTGTGTGCATCTTTAAATGATTTGCAAGTTGCTGAATACTGGGCCTGCTAGTTTTTTTTTTTTTTTTTTTTTTTCCTTAAGGATGCTTATTTATACTAAATCCATTCAGTAGTTAGCTGTCACTGCAGTGAGCTTCTGGGCTTTCTGCCAAGGCTTCAGTATTGTCAGGATCCTGCATAAAGTACAAAGAAAAATACTTGCTTATGTTGCCTTGTAAAAATTTGCAAGGGAGTTGTAGCCTCAGAAATAAGACTGTCTTTATTAAAGCGAGAGCAAAACTAGATGAAAATAGGGCTGATTTCCAATCAGGAAAACTGGTTAAAATGCAAAGTCCACTTTGACCTGTAAGAACTGCAAATGTCCATGGGCTAATAAAAAAGTTCCAAATAGAGACTTAGATTTTTGACATCAAAAGATGTTTCTATTATAAAATCATTTTGTAGGTGTTTTACTATGAAGACAAGCCATTTCAGAAGCATTAAAAATGAACAAGTTTAAAATTTTAGAATTTAGAAGCTCTGCATTGCTACTGCTGCTTTTACAATTGTTTCTGTAGGTATTACAACTCATCCCTTTTAAATAATTGCTTGTGTCATTTTCTTATCAGAACTTGATGTTCGTTTGGTTAAACTGTAAGTTACAGTAGCATATGGGGGAACAGAGATTAACCACTATTTTTGGTCATAAGAATATACCACAGTCAAGCTGATTGTTCATTTCCCAACTTAATTTCTGTGTAAATGTGTGACATAAAAGTAAAAGTGGGAGATTCTCATTTGCAAATCTCCCTTGAGGTAGAATACTTCCCACATCCCACCTTGCACATGCTCTTTTAGTGTATTTTATTAACTATATGCATTGTACTGTGGAGAATGAATCAATATTTACAATATTTTTGCATTATTTACCCCCCCCCCCGCTCTTTAAATAAGACATTTTAAAATGAATCTAAATAGAAATTGTTATGCTTTAGGTAAGAATTGAGAGAAAATGTGTATGCATTCACTGCAGTACTCGATAGGCAATATTTCTGTTGCAAGGCACAGACCTTTTGCATGAGACTCCGAGAACAGCCCTATTGTGCATGTGCTGAGAATAGGTAGAATTTAAGTCTCTAACAATACAGCAACAAAAGAACAGAAAGGATTTTGTTCTCCCAGTAGGAAAATAAAATCTACATAGTAAATCTCGGGGAAATGAGTTGAAGTTTTATGCTTGTTCTCAAGTAATAGCCATTTTTGACCAATTGCCTCTTTTTTCCTTAAGTTTGTGCCGAAGCTTTCAATCCAGATGAAGAGGAAGAAGATACAGAACCAAGGGTAAGATGGATGAATTCTGTCATCCTTGGTTCTCTGTACAGTCTGGCAGGTAGATGCCTCTGTGTCACCTTTTTCCTCTGACTTGTTCATTGTGTTCCCAGAGGTTGTGACGACTCACAAATGTCATTGCTCAAGCATTGAATAAAGTAGTCCCAAATGTATTTATTAGTGTATTTATTAGTGTATTTATTAGTGTATTTATTAGTGTATTTACTAAAGTAGTCCCAAATGTAACTGTAGTTTTGACACTTCAATGGTCTGTAGAGTCCTTAAGTCTACCAGCTAGACAAATTTAAATATTTTCCTTTCTTAATGATGATCTTAAGCACTTGCTGATGCTGTTCCTGGAGCACTGGGATGGTTGTGAACAATGAGTTAAGCTTTAACACAGCTGTTTCTTCATGGGTGCTTAAAATTCCTCGCATGCTTTTCACTGCCTTCTTGTAAGAGCAGTTCTGCCTCGGGAGAGATTTCTGTTCATAAGAGGAATACTTGGCTGCAATATTTTAAGCCAGAAGCCACCTGTTATTGTATTGTCTTTAAATGTCTTTAAATTTCTAGGAATTACAAGTCAAGATATTGTAATTGTATTTTTTTAGGCATGCTTTGATGTGAGGAAATCCTGGTAGCCTGGCTGGGAAGGTTCAGTGTTTCCTCTAAGGAGTTCTGGTGTTCATTTACCAGGTTCTACCCTGAGGGGGCTCATAGTTCTGCAATGGAAGTCAAAGACTAAATTAAATTCTTTTAAAGCTTCATAAATAAGATGACATTAAAAGAAAAGGAAAAAAAAAGACTGTGCTTGATCATTAAAATATTTTTGAAAGCTGGATATTTATTCTGTTAAAATTGTTTTTCCCAATGAGCAAACAGGTAAATTATAATTTTAACAGAATAAATATCCAGTTTACCTGTTTGCTCTTTAGTTTAGAAGAGAGGTCTAAGTTCTCCTCAACTTGGGATAATGAATACTGAGAAATTCCTAATAAAGTAACATTGTTTTCCTAGTAATTCTAGAAATCATTATGTAGTAAATATGAGATCATTAATGTTTTTTCATGTATTTGCACAGTTACATGCCCAATAAGCAGGTATATGAATATCTCTGTGAAAGAGTGAACTTCAGTTCCTTTAATCTGAGGAGAGGTTTATAGCAGAAAAGAAGTACAAAGAAATCTCTACAGCAGAACTTTTATTTTAGTAATTCAGTTGGAGATAAAAAGCACTTAGGTAACTTTATTATATGGGCTAACAGAAATATGTATCATACATTTTCTTGAACTATCTTTATTCCAACAGTAAGGTTTTTTTGGAACTAATATAGGCAGAGTTCAAAACAAAATGCTTGATATTTTTCCATTGTCCAAGATGTCCAAGCCTTGACTGGATCTTTTTGCTCTTTCCAGCTGTAGGTATCTATAGCTGGACTGAAATAGGAGAGGGATCCTCTTCTTTCTAATGTCTTTGATTATGTTATTGCTCATGTGTTTGTCATAATAATTTCTTTTTTTATTTTTCATTTACTCTGTTTTCAGACAATTTTATATAAATAACAAATCCAGATACTTTGAAGCTCTTAATTTGTGTTGTCTTTCCCTGTGAAGATTCAGCCTGTAATCATCTTTATTTACTGTCATGACAGTTTTGTTTTACTTTGTTTAAAGGTAGTTCATCCAAAAACTGATGAACAGAGATGCAGACTGCAGGAAGCCTGTAAAGATATCCTGCTCTTCAAAAACCTAGATCAGGTAATATCGCTGTAAGGAAATCTTAACTGGAGTTGCTGGTTTATATAGTTTGCTCTACCAGTCCAGGAAGTAGTTTTGCACTGTGATAGTTTATGAATTATTAATTATGTGCAGGCTGGCTTGGGGCATGTATTTGGGGATCAGAAATGAATGGATAATACAAACAAACATGTCAAATTGTCAGTTATCAGGATTGCCAGATTGCAGATTTCCCTGCCACATGTGTGGATTTTTTTTTCTGTTTTCACTAAAAAAAAAAAAATCTCATTCTGTCTTTCTGTAGCTGCTGATGGATCCTATTGCACTTGATTTTTTTTTCTGTATGGCTCATAATTTCATATGTAATTTAAAATGGGATAAACTTACACAATTAATATTTTTCATGTTGAACAGTATGCACAATCCTTTGACTTCTTTTTTTTAATTAAATATCAACGTTTCAGTCAGTTTTCTCTAAATGGAAGTAAAAGTGATATAGCAGCTTTCTGAGTTGAATCATTGAGCTTCATCTGAAATATGAAAGGATGCATGTTGTAATTTATGGTGTCAGGTATTTAGCTCAGGTTTCCTTGAAAGTCAGGAAAATCTTCCAGCTTTGGTTTCTCTGCAAACCTTGAGAGACATTGAACTGCATTCCTGGAAAAGTTGTTGAGATTTTTTGACTGCAGCAGACTTGAGATATTGACATTCAGCCAGAAGTTTCTTTGAAAGTTGTCCTTTCCAACACTGTCCTTTCACTGTTCTGGGATTCCTCATGTTATTAAGCCTATTTACTTAGGCCATTTGAAAGGTTCCTTTTGCAAGGAACATGATTATGGACAGTAAAAATGAAATACATATATTTTTTATATATATATATATATATATATATATATATATATATATATATATGAACACATATAGGTACTGGGTGAGAGCAATGACTGTTGTCCTAGTTAGGCCCCCAAGCATGTTCAGTACCCCTATGTATATCAAAAGTGTCTTACAGTTTAGGTATCTTAGAGCTTCTTCCTTTGTTGACAGAAGAGCTCAGTATTTCATTTACTTAAAATGATAAGTCTTGGCCTACTTATTTTCCAAATAAAACACTGTTCAGTTACAGTATTTTGAGAAACATTTTAAAACCCATGCTGCTTGTTTTCTGACATCTGTTGCTTAAATGCCTGTTGTGAAATATGTGGTTAAAACAAATGGCCTTCAGGCAATGATTCTCTGTTTAGATTAAGTATTGGGAGAGGTTTTAAAGACAAGAAAATAGAATTCTAATGAAAAGGTAGACTATATTTTTAATATAGTGGTACCTGCAGATGCCACTATTGCTATTCACAATTTAATGACTGCAGTTAAATATCTGAAGTGCATCTAAGAGTCTAAGCACTAGTTTGTGTGTTTATGCAATATATTTTTAGAATCTCAGCTGTGATTTAGGTTTTAAACTTGGAACATGCTGTCATTGACATTGCAATGCAAGTCTATTGTTAAAAGGACTTACGTAGTCCTTTTAATGGAGGTAGTAAAGCATCTTAAGTGTTGAGGCAGGGAGCTTACATTAAACTGCCTTTCAAATTCTGCTGTCTGTGATGCCTGCCAAAAAAAATCTAATAAGGGTTCACCAGAAGCCTGGCTTGAGTCTGCAGTGCTGACCAGTATATTCCTATTTCTGTGTGTGTGTGTGTGTTTGTGTTTCCCTCTCCTGGATCTGTGGTCTCATGCTGAAGCTGCAGGTTCTCTGAGACACCAAGAACCTTGGGAAATACTCTGTGCTTATACATAGGCTCATGCTATATGATCCGTGCCTCTAGGCTCTTAGATTATGACAATGCAAATAAGATATTAGTATCTCTTCATAGTGCTGGTTTTGAAAGCAATATATATTGCAGCAGTCAGTTAAGCTGTTTCAGTTCATACCAAGTGAGAATATGACATACATATACACCAGCACCAAAACACTGCATAAATTAGACCACTTAGGCATAATTTTTTCATTAATTTCTCTTCTAAAGCTGAAGCAATTATTTTTGCCTGTATTGCTGCACTTAATAAGCTGTAAATAAATGAAATACTCATAAAAATGAAAATTTAATATAAAAATAACGTGGATGTTTGTAGGCTAAAAATAACAGAGTGCACGACTGATATCAAGTCATGTGAATTTGTTTTTGTCCAGCAGATAATACAGAGATGTATTTGGGGGGAGAGCTGTTTGTTCTTTTGTTTTTTATTTGTTTGGTATGTTTCATAGGAGCAGCTGTCTCAGGTCCTTGATGCCATGTTTGAGAGGAAGGTGCAACCTCAGGAACATGTGATTGACCAAGGGGATGATGGAGACAACTTCTATGTCATTGAACGGTAAGCAGCTGTGCTTCCAAGTATAAGCAGGTTTCTCTTCAACTTCTGTAGAAGCAGCAAGAAATGCTCATTGCAGGATAATTTCCCAAGGAAACCTTCTTGCTGTCATCACCTCTATCACTTGGTCTTTCCATTCAGTCCTTTAGGCCCCCATTGACTTTTGGGTTGTTTGGCCAAGGGCAATCAAGTTTGACAGGTGGACATTTCAAACCTGCTGGGTTTTAACATGTTCAGGTGACTGGGTAAAAACTCAAATGCTGTTTCCTCAGAGGGAAAGGCTGCAGAATGAGCTTACCCATTATCTGTCACTTTTAGCTTTAGTGCATGTTAGCATGCGCATGTTTTGAAAGCAGTCATATATGCCGTCTGTAGACCAAGGTGGATTTTTTTCTCAAGTAAGGAGGGGAAAGGGAGCAGAAGAAACTATACGGTAAAGAAAGGGACAAGAATTTGTTTTAGGGAGGAGGAATAAAGCAAACAAAAATCCTTCCGCACCTAAATAAGTTGCTGTCATGGAACTAATGGCTGTCAGTGATTACAGAAATTCTTACTTGTCTACAAGTGCAAGTTCAGAGGGATTTCGCTCTTTTGAGGCACCATGAGACGTGTCTTCTTGTTCTGAAATCAGTCATTAGTGCATAAATATTCCTGAGGATTAGTTCCTGGCCTGTCTGAGTGAACAGAGACTTGATGTGGCAGAAGTAATTCTGCTGCTTGTCTTTAAAGAAGAGCCTTTAGGGCACATACTTTTCTCAGTCTTCTGGCTATTACCCTTCCTCACCAGGTTGCTTGGTATTTGGCTGTCTTACAGAGGCACAGAAGGACCACAAGTTGGGGTAGACCCAACTTGAGGGCCCAATATACTGCACACATAGGAGAGCTAGGACAAACGCGTTGCACAACTAAGCATTAATATGCTCACCATGGCCAAGAAAATGCTCAGTGGGTCTGTGTTGGCTGCACAGTCACCAGGCAGGAAGGGAAACGTTGGCCCCGTTGCCTCTAGGAACATTCTGAGCCTCAGTGTTGCTTAGTTGTCTTCTGATTTTCTTCCCTTTTTTTTTTTTTTTCCCCTTACGGTTTTATATTTTTTCATGTCAGTGTTTTTCTCTTGAGTCCTTGAGCTTCTTACGACTGCAGTCTCAGAAATTACGCTGTGGTCTCTGTTTTTGCTCTTCTTATCTTGCAGGGCTTTAGCTCATGGTCTGTCTCACAGCTTAGCAACAGTCTTTGTAATAAAGCAGAGCCAAGGTCACCCAGCGGTGCCGAACCAAACTTGTCCTTGGGGCACAGACAGCTGAATGCAGGGCTGAAGGTTACAAGGCTACAGTGACTTTGAAAAAAATGACACTAATAAATGTCTGATGTTGATGGGTGGTAATGAGAAGTTGCTTCATTTCCCTGCAGTTGTTTAAAATTGCTATGTGAGATCAAAAGGATGATTCAAAGACTATTTCTCCTGATGTTTCTCAGAGAATCATTAAGTGGATATTGAACACTGCAAGAATTTTAGTGCAGCTTTCCAACTAATCCATATTTCAGCAGTTTGCTGTTAATATGGTGGTATTGTGTTTTCTTTTTGTATCTTAGGTATGAATAAGCAAGAAGGGTATAAAGAGTGTGATAGGCAGTCTTCATGTGCCTTCATTAGCTTTCTGGGTGACAGGAACTTCTTTTAGAATCAATAGTATTCAAAGACAACCGACAAAATGAGGACTGTCCATCAACAGCCCTAAATGCCCTGCTGCTAATGCTTGGTAGATCTCACGGATGAGACTCTTCTCATTTTTTTACTATGAGGAGTTTCACCTGCTGCCATTTCTGTTGATTCTTTTTTTTTTTTTCCTAAAATGCCTGTTGATGTTTTGGGAGATAATAGAGTTTTTTTCTGGTAGAGATTTCAACTTCATGGGGTCATGGGGAGAACTGTGTATGTTCAGCATATGTGAAGCTGCTTATAACACCAGGACGGTGTTTCCTACCTGCTTTTCTACAGGATGTAACATATTTTGTCAAGTCTCTTAGGCCAGTGTCCAGTTCCTTAAATTCTCTGGTATCATAGCCAGGAATTGGTCAAACCTAGTTAAGTTATCTGACTTCTTATGTTTTTCTTTTAAAGCACCAAGCATGAGACAGCCTTGACAGTGGTATAGACACTTGTCTGGCTTCTAAATGGCCAGCTTTCTGTGCACAGCCTGTTTCTTCCTATGCACCTGCTGATCCAGATCCTTCAACTTTGGCTCTCCATACATTTGTCTGCATCTTTGTCAGAGTGGTCTTTTAGTTCTCAGTAAGTTCTAGCTTCCTGTTGCCTTAAGTACATTGCAAGAGAGGAGGGGTGCCTCTTTGAGAACAGTGGGGAGGCCTTTCCAGCTTAAAGAGGTTACAGCTCCATGGGGGTGAAGTGTAGAAGACTTTTGGGGCTTCAGCACTTCTTCCTTGATCATTTCAAATATCCTGGCTAGATCACAGCAGTTTAAAGAGCTTTTCTGCTTTCTGAAAATGAGCTATACCATTTTTCTTTAGTTCTGCAGCTTCTGTTTAAAGCCAATGTAGATGGGGTAGAATCTATAATGTTCTACAAAATTGTTAAAAGTTATCCATGCTGCCAGCCATATGCATCCTGCAGTGTCTCTTCAGCATGCAGAGAGATGTGAGAGCAAAGCAGGCTTTTCAAGCTGTGACATTGTATGCTATAGCTTGTCCTTCAGCAGCCTTACCTCCATGAAGACGGTGATGGAACTGTTTGGTTCAACTGCAGCTTGCCCCAAGCTGTGAAGTTAAACTGAGTGTGAAAGCTCTGGTCATAAGGGAGCTATTAGGCAAACACCAGATGTGAGCTGATTCGTTGGTTGCTTCTCCATGTCCTGGTGTAAAGATGTGCCACATGTTCCTGAATTAGCTTTAAATAGTCTATCTTGAGAGTCAGTATGTGCCGCTCCTAATAGCGGTCAATTTGCCCTGTAAAACTTGCTCATTATCTTGGGTGTGTACAGAAAGGCCCTTTTGGGGATCTTTGTGCTTCTGCAGCATCGCTGTTGTCTACAAAAGAGATGAAAAGTTTGAATTTGGAATGGATATACAAATACTAACTTACAGTTGTACTTCAGGATCACAGTACAGGCATACTCGTAAGTTTGTGTGAGGTTGAGGCAACACCTTAAAAGCAGGTGAGTGGTTGGGTTGAGTTTACCAAAAGGTACTGCAGAAATGTTGGCTTTGTGAAAAAGGTAGCTGAGAACATGGATAGGTTCTAGTGGCTCTGAAGAGACCTTGTTGAATAATAGCACATTATTCAGTGATGTGCTGTGGAAAGGCAAAGCCTGCGAAGGTACCTGTGCCTTGGCCAGAACACTTAGAGTAGCAGCGTCAAAATACTTTGCAGAGGAGACCAAATAGATCATGGCCAGTTCTACCTGGAGTGAAATGCCCTATTAAGGGAGAGGTGCTGTGAAAGTACTTCAGATGGTAGCAACTTAAGATCAGACGATTAGAAAGCTGAATAAGGTATTTTTCCATATCTCTTAGCAGTAAGAGAGTTATTTTCTAATTTGGAAAATGTTTTGTGTGCACTCAGTTTAGTGTAAAAGCTGAAAACTGTTTATATGATCCATATAAACATTGTCTAATAGCACCTATCCCATTTTTCCAGGGGACTGTATGACATCTTTGTAGCAAGAGACAACCAGACACGGTGTGTGGGTTGCTACGATAATCATGGCAGTTTTGGCGAACTGGCGCTGATGTACAACACTCCTAGAGCTGCCACCATTGTTGCCACAACAGAAGGAGCCCTTTGGGGACTGGTAAGGAAAGAAAATCGCTCTCATCTGCAGAATATTTTAAACATTAACTCACGGGAGTCATCAGCAGGTGCTCCCTGTCAGTATGAGTCCTTGTGCTAATAGCTATTTTATTGTTATTTGTTATCTCCTGGCATAGAAGTTGCATTGTACAAATGCTTTGGGTGACTTTCCTGAAACAACTTGTCTATAAAAACTGTATCAGTAGATGCATCAGTCTATTATTCTGCATTTACTGTAATCTTAACTTCTGTTAGGGAAAAAATTAAGGTTTTGTTTTCATCCTGCTAGGGGACAGTGCTAACATTGAAGCATGTAGTTTATGGGGAGGAAAAAAACCACCCACTATCTACATAATCTTTACATTGCAGCTTGCTCCCTTTTTCAGCCCTTTAAGGGAGGGTGGGCAGGAGTTACTACTTGAGTATGTCAGTAATTTGAAGAGCTAGGAAAGCTGCCCAAAGCTTTGTTTTCCCTCAAAATAAACTATTGCTGTCACAATGTTTCTAGTCTCTTTATGGCTCCCCTACAAGAGGTTCTCAGGTCAGCATGACCTTTAAAGTACGATTAAATATGCTGTTGCTTTGTCTCCTGCCTAGTGGTATTGAATGAGAAGCCATAGACTTCAGTTTCCTATTTTAGTTCTTTTCTCTGTAGTATTTGGATGGAGTTAGTTTTACAGTGCCCTCTTACCTGTCTCATATAATAAGGGGACTGTGCAATGTCCAAAGCCTTTGGAGCCGGGCGCGTCGTGCACTTTCTGTGTGCGCGGGCTCCTCGGCAGCTATCGCTGGGGGTTGGCCATTTGTTGTGACCTTGATTATGTGACTGATAAGCTTCTACACCCAGCATGCTTGTACAGGTCGTGTGTTTGCTTGGAGAACTGACTTCTGATTTCCCTTTTCTTGGGAAGCTGTAAGAAAAGGCTGCTGTAAATCAACCTGGGAGTAATGTCAGAATCTTATTTCTTGTGCAGAACAGGATAAATAATTTGCCTGCCAACTGACTTCATTCTAAAAGGATGAGAAGGAGAAAATGACTTTTCAGTCCAGTTTGCCTTGGAACAAACTACAGCATTTGGGGTTAATCTTGTTTTAGTGATTAGTCGTTTCATTAGGAAGGCATGTTTGAAGAGGGGGAACCTCTTGCCAGTCATCTGACCCTCAGTTAAGTGAGGTTCCATTTTTCTGCGTTAAAACTTCTGATGGTTCTGTTGTCTCCCTGCTTTATTGCACTAGTTTGTGCTTGACCTACTTTAAATAAGACGTTTCAATAAGCTGCAGAGTTTATTGCTATAGGTCTCAGGTTATCTCCTATTTAAGAAGCGAGTAGTACTCTTGCTGCATTGCAGTCTTCAGCCAACAAAAGCCTGGAAGGCTCAGGCTCAAGCAGGGCTCAAATGTGGGCCTCAGCTGAACGTGTCTGGGGAAAGGCCCGCGACTGCGCGCGCTTCCTTTGCTGCCGGCCACCTGTTCAAACACTGCTGTGTTTAAACACTGCCAGTTCTCCCACTCACTGTTACGCTCAAATCCACTGTCCCGAATGAATTCTGAGCTTGAGATGCTTTGGCAGTTCCTCGCTGCACTTATGCACTTTTCTGCTTCTGTAGACATTACATTTGATGAGACTTCTACCACTGAAATGTTTCTTTATTAGTACTAACAGGGACGATGAACAAAAACTTACTTCTTGCTTTGTCATCGCTCTTGCTTTTCTGTGGATAACAGTAATGTCTTTCTTCCCTTCTTATGTCACCTTTTCCAGCTTCTGTGTTGCTTGTTGTGTAAGATAAACTCCTCACCTCTTATTCTGTTTAGAACCCAAATCCTACCAGCGGACAAAGGCATTAAAGTAATGCCTGTGCTAGCAGTATCTAGTGGGCAAGTGCTCTTCCCTTGAACCTTGATGTGCTGTTGATTTTTCAGCTGTCTTGGGACCTCTCTCCTTGTTTTATTCCAGTGGTCATGCCCTGCCTTTTCTGTTTGGAAGTAAAAAGCAAGATTGCTGACAATGGAGTCTCTAATATGTCTGCCCTTACAGGTAGTGGGACAGGAGATGGGCGTAACGTGATGATCTTGCCTTCATGCAGGCCTGCATTGCCACCCAGCGGCCACAGAGCCCGTACGTCAATAACTGCACCTTAGGAGAAATAAAACATCAGGGCAAGAGAAGAGGATGTTGTCCAGTGCTTGGGCTTTGAAACTTATGTTACGTGTACTCATGGTGCATGGGGGGCAGCTGGCAGTTAAGGAGTAAACAGTCCCTTGGCAAAAATCACCTCTTTGATCCCAGAAGCAGGAGTAGAGAATCAAGCTTTCTGCTATTCTAATTCATGATCTACTCAAGATCTGTATAAACATCCAGTTCGCTTTTAAAAACATTGTCTCAAGAAGCCAGAAACTGACTTCATTGTATATGGCGTGTGGAATATCTTTAAAAAAAAATAAAATAAAATAAAAAAAAAATTCTTTTATGCTTCTCTGGGAAATACCAAGTTTCTGTCATAGCTCTGCATTTTTCAGTTTGCTCTTACAGTAAGTACTGTCAAAGGAGCTATTACTCACCACTGTGATACTTGCTATATCATTTATCAGCTTCCTTTTCAAATACAGTGTTTATTGCAAATATTAGTTTATATTATAGCTTTGTAAATCCTTCTAGCAGTGTGCATTTTGGCCAAGAGAATAATCTACTTCTCTGTTTCTTACAGGATCGAGTGACATTCAGAAGAATTATATTGAAAAACAATGCGAAGAAGAGGAAGACATATGAGTTATTTATTGAGTCCGTGCCCCTTCTTAAATCCTTGGAGGTAATGCCTCTCAGAAATCTGTGTCAAATTCTGGCACTGACATTAGCACTGCAGTGGGGGTTTCTTGTATATCAGGAGCCTGTGCATCTCTTGCTCAGAGCAAAATTTTAATAGCTACTTTGGAACTGTTTACTGTACGTTGAGGCTATGATTCCTTTTGAGGACACAATGCAGAACTAATGACATGTTGCACTAAGGTTTTCAGCTTTTATCAGCCATGAAAGAATTTTATAGTTGAGGCCAAGATGTGGTCTGCAACAGATCTTTCTTTAAGCCCTTTACCCATGCTTGGGAGCAAGCACATGCTGTGATGATGTTTGAGATGTTTCCTAATCTGTTTAATCAGACTAGATCAGAGGGCTTTCAGAGCCATATTAAGCTCTTTTAGACACTGATAAGTGTTCACCTTTGGCTTGTACTGTAACACATATATACCTATATATACACACACACACTTTTTTTTAACAGTAAGGATATTTTTCAGCATTAATCTTTAGTGTTGTAAAAGCTCTTACAATCCACTTGAGAGAGCATTACAAAACAGTATTGTTAAGTGTGAAGGTGAACTTCTAGAATATATTAATTTGGAGATACTCTGACAACTGTAGAAGGAGAGATTCGCCTAACACCTTCTCCCTCAATGCCTGGTTTAAACAATTCCATCAACGTGACTTTTTTGAGCACAAAAATGACTCATAAATATTTAAGGATATAGAAAAATAACTTGTTAGTGCCGGATAGCGTTTTGCATGACAAACTGCAGTTGAATCATGCATGCATCAGAATTTACACACTATCTCAAGCAAGGACTAGATCTAGATGTGTTTGTGAGATGAAGGAATTTAAAACTGAATCATTTGTTGAGGTAATAGCTTTTTTTTTTCTTGCTTTCTTCTTTTCTCCATGTTTTTAAAAACATTGTCTTTCAAGAAGCCAGAAACTGACTTTTGTCATGTGATGTATGGACAGCAGGAAACATGAGAGTTAAATTTAACTCTTGAGAACTGTCCCTTCTCCCTTCCTGTTTATGAAGGTGACTGTGTGAGACTAGCACCTTTTGCCCTCACTGGGCATCCTGTTGTAGTGCTTGCTGACAGTTTAGACCTATTCATATTCCCTTCCTCTCTCCACAGTAGGAATGAATTCCTGGCTCAAACAGCACACATAAACACTCACAAAAATTATGTTCAAGTGTATGGAACATAATTTAAGATAAATGACTTAAGATAATGTGATATATTTTACTGGTAGTTTTCATTGAAGTTTGTGCTTAGAAAGTTTCTGATTTCTGTCTGAACAATTTCTTCAAATGTTGATTGAAGCTTACAGGAAGTGATTTTTCTTTGCTCTAAAACAGCTGAATTGCTTGATTGAAAACCTTGGGGTAAAAAAGCAGGTGGATGGAATGGAAGCTTTCTTACCCTAATGGCTGCTTTGAAAGTTGTGTGCATGATGACAGTGTGCTGTACCATCTGTAGGGGCTGCATTTTTATGTGTGCCTACAAAGTTTGCTGGAAGTGTATTATAGCAAGTGATCGTGTTTTATTTTCCTCTTTGTTCCAGCCTTCAGAGCGAATGAAAATAGTGGATGTAATAGGGGAGAAAGTGTATCAAGATGGGGAACGTATCATTTCTCAGGTACTTGGAGTCTAAATATGCATTTTCTCCCCTTTCTGCTTCTTTCCATTATGTATTTGCTTACACAACCATATTACTTAAACCGCCTTGGTGTCGCTTACTTTTAGTACTCCCAACTTATTTAACCGATTTTTGAATATTTTGGGAATGGCTTACTGCATTTTTTGCTAGGTTTTTTTTTTTCTATCTTAAAAAGCAAGTGCTCTATTTTAAACAAAGTTAATGCAAGAAAGTCCTTGGTATTTACCTGGAATCACAGAATGGTTCAGGGACACCTAGAGCACGTTGTGCAGGATTGGTAGGCTTTTAACCTCAACAGTCATTTTGTTTAGTAAACAGAGTATGAATCATTGATAAGACCTTAATAATTAGCAACCTTGCATGTCAGATAACTCTGAATGCCAGCAGTCTTATTTGTTGATACCAAGTACTGACATTATTTCTCTCCCAAAATCCTTTCAGCTTGTAAAATGAAAATCTTCTTCATTAAGAACTGGAGAAACCAACCAGCAAAATCAAAGCTTATAAATATGAGTTTCAGCAAAACAATCGGTGATCTAATTATGCAGTTGGTTTTAATCTTTGTAATAATTGAATTAAGGACAAGAATTAAATTATTTAAAAAAAAGGAAAAACAAAGATAGAGTTAATAATGTGGATTGGTCTGGATGTTGGTGAAACACTGCTAAAGAAGATAAAATTCAATACTTGAAGATTTTGATAGCTCCTACATTACAGCAGTTGCATCAGTACCGTGAACTTCTCTCCTGTGGATAAATTTACCTTGTAATTGTCTTTTTGGAATTTGATCTTTCAGTTGAGTGCAGTATGTTTTAAAGCACTTGAAAATCGTTAATGCATGCCAGTGAAGTCCTTATATCTCCCACTCAGTTTATTTGCATTCTTCAGAAAAATAAGTAACGACTCGGCACAGAATTGGACTGACTGTTCATGTTGTGTGATGACAGCTGGCAAGAGTGAATGAAAAGCTTTGGGCTGGATGGTTTGCCTCCATGCCCAGCAACCTTAATTTAAGAGCCTAAATTCTTCTGAAACTGCAAGTTTAAGCTTCTCAGTCATACTTAAGCAATTAAGGCCTAGTCATCTTTCTTCATCCTCCTTGTCATATGCTGTCTTCTCGCCCACACCATGCCTCCTTTTTTCAATCTCTTCCTTCTCTTCCAGTTCAACTACTTTCAAATCCTTTTTTATTTTTTTCCTGCTTTCCCTTTCTAGGCTCCTTTGGCTTTACCTGCTCCCCTGTTCCAGCCATACCTACCTGTCTGAGTTCTTCCACTACACTTGACTTGATACTGGATTTATCTCCCTCACATTGTGTCCCAGTTTTGATGAGCCAGCTCCCATTCCCTTAGCAGTTCCTTATCCAGCCTCTGCCTCCTTGAGGCCTTCATTCTTTTCACCTCTGATTCATGTCAGGAAGGATGTACAAGTTCTCTGCTCAGACTACCAGTCCTACACCAAGCCCTCACCTGCCTGTGCAAGGAAACTCCTCACTATTACAGCTGAATAGTTGGGAAGAAATGCCTTCTTGGAGGTACTGCCTGCACATTTACCTTGAGCACTAGGATCCCCATCTCCTTTCCTTTTAAAGAGGCTCCTTAATGCTTCAGTACCAAGCCTGTCCTCTTGCAAGGCATCCTTCTAGGACTTTGCCTTGTCAAACTTCATAAGGTTCTTTCTTGTTCTGGTCCCTCTGAATAGCAGCCCTATCTTCCAAGGTATCAGCTGCTCCCATCAATCTGGAACCATCTATGGATTTGCTGAGATACATTCTCTCACATCATCCAGATTGTCAAAGCTGTCAAACAGCTTTGGCTCGAAAATCAGCCCTTAAGGGGTGTCTCTAATACTAGAGTCTATTTGGATTTCAAACTCCTGGCCACCATTTGTTGATCCCATAGGAAGAAATGTTTTTCACTCAGTTGCATTCATAGTTTTATGAATTACTCCGTAGTTCTTCAGGGGACCAGCATTATGCAGGTTGGCTGTAGTTCCCCAGATCCTCCTGAAAATTTTTAGTTTTGGTTTGTTTGTTTTTTCCTTAAGTTACTAGAGATATCTCCTAATTACAATCACCACTTTAGGTTGACTAAAAAGGAGCTTTGTAGTGACATTGATCAGCTTCCTCAGCTCTGAGGCATCCCATTCAGTGCTATTGACTTGCATATGTCCAGTTTGTGTAAGCAGTCCATATCTCTGTCTTCCTCTACTTTTGGCCTTTTTTCTTCTGACTGCCATAGTTACCATAGCTCACTTTCAGACTTGAGATGAGAAATACTTCTGTTCAGCTTCCTACAAATTTTTAACTTGTAAATTGACAGATTTAAAACCTTAATAACAATTTATACTTATATTTTGTATAGGCTCTTCAGTTTTCTCACTCACACGTTGCTTTGATGTCAGTTTGTCAATTCGAGCAGATTTCTACATAAAGCCTAGGTCAGAATGAACACTTTAATATCATTTTTCCTTTTCACAGTAAGCTTAAAAATGATTTGGTTTACCTTTTTCTCTTCACAGGGTGATAAAGCAGATTGCTTTTACATTGTAGAATCCGGCGAAGTAAAAATCTTGATTAAAAGCAAGGTGAGTTCCAAGAAGATGCTTCAGGTTTAAATGAATCTCTGATCTGCTCTGTTAATGGAAGTGCTACACGAAAAATCCAGCATGACATGTTTTAAACTGTTATTATATGGTTATTTATCATTATCTTTTAGGTAACTTAACTTGAAAGTCACTTTAGTCAAATTGGAGGTTTCTTGCTTCTCTGCAAACTGACCTGATGTACCTCTCCCCATTAAGGATGGGGATAAACTTTCTTCTAAGACTACACCAAACTGGAAGCAAATTTTAAAAAAAAAAAAAAAGGCTGTTTATCTTCAGTGACTTAGTAGACATTTGCTTTCCAAGAGATGTAACAATGACTATTTGCCAATCTCCAGAGGTTCTTATGGGCCAGCATACACTTTTCTAACCAAAATTCTAATGAAGCCTGTGGTAAATGTGTTTTACCACTGCACCCTATGATTTGGATATCGCTAGTCTTAAAATGCTAAAGCAGTTAGTTGTTACACATCTGCAGGATGTCTGGGATTAACTGCAAAGTAATGGAAATGTTCTGTTTTTACAGACTATGACAAGTAAAGATGCTAACCAAGAAGTGGAGATTGCCCAGTGTCACAGAGGACAGTATTTTGGAGAGCTTGCACTTGTTACCAACAAACCCAGAGCAGCCTCAGCCTATGCTGTTGGGGAGGTTAAGTGTTTAGGTAAGGAGGCATTTTGAGTTTCTAGTTATCCTTTTCCAGGCTTTGCTTGTGCTGTGGACTTTCCTCTACTATTGAAAACCTGGCTGTCTTTTGGTACCTGTTAGTCAGAAGTTGAACTTGGAGAAACACCACTGCTTTCCCCTTCAGATCTTTAGTTTCAAGTAGGTGTGAGGGTAACTGCCTAGTGAGTTGTTACTTCTGCATGGTCTGTGCTCTAGGGAAGTGGAAGTGGTAGACCCTGACTGCCTGGTATCTGCACCACAGTCTTCAGCATCAATTTCTTGCTTAAAACTTGCTTGTAGGTGATAGATTTATGCCTAAACTGCGTGCATTTGCCTTCTGTATTTATCCCTGAGGTCAGGTGTGTATCTGGTGAATCATATTTCTTTAAATAACAGTACAGACTGAGGTCTGGTTCCTGTTTATATGGCTTCTGTGGAAGACTCGGAACCAAAGGGGTTGATCTTGAGGTTTGCGTTCTGAGTTCAGAGAATATATTGGCGTCTGGCGTCCTTTTGATAGACAATTTTGTTTTCACTTCTGTTCCTCTGCAGTAATGGATGTGCAAGCATTCGAGAGGTTGCTTGGACCCTGCATGGACATTATGAAGAGGAATATAACACATTATGAAGAGCAGCTGGTGGCACTGTTTGGCTCTAGCATGGACCTGTTGGATCCAGGGAATTAGGCACAGGGTACCTCAATGCCTTCTCAGTTCAAGACACAGAAAAGCCTCCGATCAGCAACACAACTCACAAGGAAATGGACACTATGGAACAGTTACGGCTGCTGTCTTTTTGGGCATTTTAGAAACCATAAAAAAGTGTCAGCACAGATGGATTGCTCACTCCATGCCTCCACTTTGCTGCTGATACTTCATTACTAGATCTAGATTAAAGATGATTCTAACCCTATGTTCACTTACTTGGTTCAAAATGGCATCTCTCCAGTTCAAGTGCCTGATACGAAACCCAAAGTGAGAAAGATGTAGAAGCTTCCTCCTTTCTGGTATTACCATTGGGATAAATTTTCAGAGCAGATTCTGTAGTTGTAAGCTGCCTGTTCTGCAGAAACAACCTGTAGAAAATGAGCCTTTTACAAGCTTATTATCTTCTTCTGATACTTTCCTTACACAATGTGAAATTTGTTTTTAACTGTAGCATCCGAATCCAAAGTTAAAAATATCAATGGAGCCAATTAATAAGGTGGCATCAAAATTTTGTTCAACCTGCTGAATGTGGTGGCTGTTTATGTAGTTGTTTGAACCTAGCTGGGAACACAGGAGATAGCTGCTTGGCAATGAAATGCAGAAAATGAAGTATGGCTAAATTTTAGTTCAGGGTTTTCTGAGCAGCAAAGAAACTGGCTTAAAGATTTCATAGTTGTCATCTTCTAAAATTTGCTCCTGGCTTCTTACACCAAGTAGATTTTATTGTGGAGAGATCACAATATATAGCCTTCTCTTGCTTACAGAGATTCGTTATACTTTTTGATTTCCCAGGGCACTGTTGTTGTCTGGGTCAGTTTTAAAGCTTTTTAAGGAGGTGAACATTTTGTAATTTAAAGGAAGACTATTTCTCTACTTATTGACAGGATCTCCCTCCCTCCCCAGTCCTAATACTTCACAGTATTCTAGCTTCATTAGACACTTGGATGTTTCCAAATGCGAGGTGTATTTGCTAAATCTTTCAAAAGTTGGCAGCATTTGAATTTGTAGAGCAAAGATCTTTGCTAACTACACATTTGGTGTGTTTGAGGAGCCTTTTTGATTTAGGTGATAACTCAGATAATGATGAGTTATCTAAAATATCGGTTAAATCTGCAGCATTTACTAGGTAGATTCTATTTCTTTAGCTTTAATGACCTTAATTGGCATACTGCTAAGATTTTATCAGAGTATTATCTAAATAAGATTCAGACCATAAGAAGGATATTTTTTATGGTGTAAAACAGAATATTTATATTAAGAAATTGAATTTGTAGGTAATAAATCTAGTGAGCCTTTGAATTTTTCAGCTCATGCAAAATTTGTGTTTTATGGGGTTATGAAATTTTAATTGTGGGTGCTAGTAGAACAGAAAATGCTCTTTTTATTCATGGCCATGTGAACAAGAATAGAAGGATGCAAGTTAAATTCCTGCTTATAGTTATCTCAATGGACGTTTCTCTAAGGCACAAGATGCTTAGCCACAACTCTGAGTTGGTTTCTGGACAGTAATTTCTTCCCTAAATGGATGAGCTCCTCCCAGTTCCTGCACTATGAATAAGATGGAAACCTGGTAAGATTGAATGGCTGTTGTCCAGTTACTGTAATTGGAATCATTTTTATTTAATATAAATTGATTCATAATAGACACCACTGAAAGAGGAATTATTAAAGTTCTGATCGTGATGTCCAGTGGCTGTTCTAATTGTATGTATTCTAGAACAGTGAATTTCTCTTACTTTACTGGAGTGGTTTTGATAATAAATTACAGCCAAAGAAGCAGCAGGTACTTGATTCATGCTTCTGAGGTTTAACACCAAAGACAAAATCACTGTTTTAATTGCAGATTTTTTAAAATAATAATAATAATAATAATAAAAAGTTAGGTCCTTGCTTTAATAACAGATACTTTGAAGTACTTTGGGCTCACAGAGTCTTTTGGAAGCCAGCTCATGACTATCCAGCAATCCAAACATAAACTGGTCTGCAAACTAGTACGAGCTTCTGTACAGCCTAAACTGTCATGTGAACTAAAGAGAAATCTGCTGTGAAAATCATCAGCTGGCCTCTGTCCCTCCCAGGCACAGTTTCCTCTCCGTTGTCCAGAGGAGTCTGGCATGTTGGGCACCCTTTCAGATGGGTTCTGTTTTTTACAGCCTTCAGCATAAAACAAGCAAACAAAAAAAAAAAAAGGAATTGTCTGATAGACTCTTAAGGTCGCTCTGCCTGGAGGGGAGGATTTGATGATTCTAGAAATCACAGGAAAGGATGAGACTCTAAAATCAATGGCTTGGGACCCCACGTGAGCAAGAACAACCTTCTAGAGTAATTTGAACCTTTCTCTAGACTCTCTGCAGCAAAGTCATACTGGGCAACGCCATCCTGCAGCCGGGATTGCTGTGACGTTGCTCTGTTGTGTAAAGAGGCAATCAGACTCTTAGCTGAAGGAGAATGAGCCCGTAAGAAGCTCGCTCCATTTAAGAGCGTATGATTTGCAGCGTGCCTGACTAGTCTAGTCTGGTTTAACCAGCCTGTTCTGTGTAACTTCGGTCAACAGAGAGAAGCCTGTAGTGAGATGCTCAATGCTGTCTGGCTGAGCGGTTACCTGGCAGAGCACCAGCAATGAACAAAGTCAGAAAGCACGTGAGCGGGGTGAAGCGAGACACCGATTTGTGAAGGTCTGACTGTGTCATTGTATCCCAGTTTTTTCCTTTTCACTGTGACTGCTCATCACGATTGAGAATGAGCACAGTATTTGTTGTCGTTGCTCAGCGTTCAGTAAATTTGCTGTGTATTCTCTGAAACTGGTAATGGAGGAAGATCTCATTTTTATTAAAAAATCAGCAGCAAAGTGGGTAAAGAGAGTAGTGTCTTTTTGAGACTTGGAGGACAAAGTCTCTTACATCTGATTCCCTGCTTGTGATTGTTGTGAAGTCAGTGAGAGGAGCTTTCTCAGTGGTCAAGTGTCCTGGCATATGGTATTTCTGTTTAATGTCACAGCACAGGTCTCACAATGTAAAAAACAGAAAAGGGCAAAAGCGCTCTCTTAACAAAATACAAATTTGCACAGAGGGCAAGAAGAGAAAACCCTTTGAATGTCACTTCCATCCTTTCTTTTCAGTTGGCTGAAAATGGACTTTTGTTCTTGACATGTATTTGTAAACTAGTCTTGCCAAAATATAAACATTTTGTTTTTTTTTTTCACTCCAGTCAATTTTTGTTGTTACAGTTTTTTATTTTCACTTCTTTCAAACTATATATTTTATTTCAAGAGGCCTTCTTTGTGGATTTTCTCCTGATGGTCTACAGCACTACAATGCTATTTCAAAGCGCAAGAGACCCTCACAAGAGAATACTCAACTCATTTAGCTGGCTGGAGCTAATAATGCGCTACTAATTTTCCTCCACTCTGTGGGGCAGGAGGAGAATTAAATCCTGCATAAAGTTGCTACCTCAAGGCTCCAAGTGCTTTAATGGTCTTTCACTTGGAAGAATTTCATAAGGCAGTTCTTAAAATTGGTCTGTTCTTCTGAGTTAAGTGTTTTTCTTCATTAATTCATTGAGGGGACCCATATTGCATTCATTTTACATTTAGTATTTGATTCTCAAAGGATGAACAACTGCAAAATTCAATTCTTGCATTACAAGAAAATATCTGCCATATGAGCATACGTTTTTTAAAAGTTAAACCACTCTGGGGTTCAGCTTCACTTTTGGTTAATAAAAAGCTGACATGTTGTGTCCAGCCTTCCTGGTACAATCTGGTGTGTGCTTTTTATTGACTTACTGCAGCTGACGTGTCCCCGTACACAGTGCTTAAAAAAAAACCCAGACTTTCTAGCAGGTAATTAAATTTACTTGGAGTGTCTGAGTTACTGTTGCTTGTGTTATCAGAGCCTTATAGAAAACAGCACTTGCCCTATTGCAATAATGAGAACAGATTTATACATCATCCAACCACCAAGTTTTACTGTTTGGTGAGAAAATTTAATACCTTAAGTGATACCTTTCTGTAGATATTGTTGCTCCAAATAAAACTGGCTGTGATATGGTTGCCATGCTATTGTAAAATCAGTTTTTTGATTTTAAGCAGTGTACTACCTGATTCTCAGTTCTTAGGAGAATTTTAATATTCCTGAAGATCTCATGCTTCCCTACACTTACGGCTACTGAATGTCATACAGCAAGTTGTCTTTTTTTTAAAAAGAAAAATAATTTGGTACTTATGAAGTTACTTGTTCAAATTCTAAAATTTGGTTTTGCTTAAGCTTTATTCTAAATGCTTACTATTTTATGTACAATTTCTAAATTAAGGAGAGCATTTCCAGTGCATCTCTGCCTCAACTAGTCTATAGTACTGGGTTTATTGTAGCGCTTGAGCAGTAAAGATACCTTAACTCAGGAAGATGTTGACATGTGAAAGGGCCAGAGGGTAGCAGCATAATAAAAAGATCTATAAAATGTAACATTTATACAAAAAGAGTCAAAGGAGGCTGAGCTCCCTCTGGACTAGGAAGAGAGAAGATCCCAGGGTTGAGCAGAGCAACACCTCAAATTCTGATTCCACTGCTGGATCCTGCTGCAAGGAAGGGATATCCCTTAGAAGCTCTGGTGTTAATAGAGGCATGTGAGATGAAGAAATCCTGATTAGTTACAACTAGCCATGCTTTGAAGATCCTGGCTTCACTGCCTTGTTACTCTGTCAGTCACCAAAGGGTGAGAAAGGACAGAAAAGAGGGTGGTTTTGTTTAAAATAGTATGATTTTCTGAGACTTCCTGGATAAAACCTTTCCTTTAAACAAAATATGTTAGTCTCAGCATGTTGGTTCAGTTTGGGAATCTTTAACAGCACAAATTCCTATTCACACTGTTTTTTTCCCCTGCTGTTTCTCTCTGAAGGATGTACGTCGCACCCATCACTGGATAAGCACTAAGCATTCAAGCAACTATGATAATTGTGATAATAACAGTGTAGGGGGGAGGATGCTGTTATTACCACAGCCCTGCTTGGGTTCTACCCCGTGGGAGCTGCTTTTTCAGCAGTGTCCTAGGTGCTCCCAGCCACCCACCTGCCCTACTAGCTGCCTCTCCACCACTCTCATTTGTTTAATGGGGCCACGAGGAAGCCCCTCGGGTTGCCCCTGTCCAACCTATGCTCAACTTTTGTAATCTTGAAGCACTAGGAATCACTTCAGTGAGAAAATTAATTTCAGAAGGGGGAGCTCCTACTCCCTTTCCTGACTCGGCTCGGGCCAGAGCTCCGGCTTCGCAGGCAGCCTTGACGCAGCCTGGCTGCCCGGCCAGCAGCTTTAACGTGACCGGTTAAGAGGCCGTTAGCGGCCGTTGGCGACTGTTAGCGGCCGTTAGCGCGCGCGCCCCGCCCCCTCCCCTCATGCCGAACTCCGCCGCGCGCGTTGGGCCCGCGGGGCCGCCGTAGCGGAGCCGCCATTGGCTGCGCGCGGCGCGGGGCGGGCCGCGCCTGAGGAGGAGCCGCCGCCGCTCGCATGGCCCGCGCGGAGCCGCCGCCGGCCGCCTTCGAGCGGCGGGTGCTGCGCAGCGCCGCCGAGCACCACTACCTGCGCGTCCGCCTGTGAGTCCCGCCGCGCTGCCCCGCGCCGCGCGCCGGCCGCGAGCCGCCACGGGCAGCCCGCGAGCCCGCCCTCCGCTCTGCTTCCCGCAGGGAGCTGCCCGACGGCGCGGCCCGGCCCAGCGCCGCGCTCTTCAAGCAGCTCGTGGTGACGGCGCTGCGGGAGCTGCACGGCGAGGTGCGCCGCCCGGCCGGGAGCCTTGCGGGGATTTGCCGGTGTCGGTGCTTTTGCCGAAGCGAGGGATTAAGAGCAGCGCACTGGGATGGAAGTAGCTCCAGGGGCTGGGAAGTGCCCGGGACTCGTCGTGCTCAGCTTGTTGCCTCGTTAGGAGGCCGTGATTAGGGCGCATCGTCATCCCTGGGGCTCTTGTTTCCCCACGTAGCAGGGCGGGGGGTAAAAGTGGCTCTTTTACTATAAAAACGACGATACTGTACAAAAACTACGATGTTTTTATTGCTCACCTGAGATTTGAGCTTATCTATAACAACTTGAACAAAGTCATGTCCTGAAAATAAAATCACTTTTGTATAAATTACTATGAAAGTAGGGGGGAAAACTGATTTAATAGTGTCATACTTCTGCATAGGTTGGAGCAGCTTTGCCTGTTGATGTCTTAACGTATGAGGAAAAGACTATGTCTGCAATATTAAGGGTTATTAGCAGGTAAGGTACTGTAGTATATGGTATATGAATACTATGAGGTAAATATCTATTAGCTTATTAGCTAGAAATGTGGTAACTGACATGATCTATATTCTGTTATTGACCTTGCTTTATTTGTGTCTCTGTGAAATCAGCCTAGAATGTTCATCTACCTTTTCATCTTTTCATCAGGAATATAATTCCCAGGAGCTTGGTTTCAGTACTGTCTGGGAGACATCTTTAGGTTGCTCAGAATCTCACTGGTGCTGTTTGCCTGCAATTTCCAAAGAACCAAGCCTAACTTGAAGAGCTAAGCATAGAGTGTGTGAAAAACAAATATAAATTTACTAAGACCTAAGAACATGCCTGGATCAATGTATTATTTATTCTTAGAGCAGAATGGTCTGATGAGAATTGAGTGCTGTTGAAATGTGTAAGTGTAAATCCCTTTCTGTAGCAACAGAAGGCAGTGCTTATCAGATGTAAACAGTGAAGATAACAGCAGGTGAATTAGAGGAAGAAGAAGCTTAAAGACGCAGAAAGAATTTAAGAAAAAGGACCATAAAGGTTACAGTAAGCATCTCATGTGAGTCACGGATAGAGACTGCAGTGATTACAATGACATTTGGGGTCTAATGTTACTACCTGCTGAAAAATTTCCCGCTGTTGAATTCTGTTTTCGTTCCTGCTGGTGTAACATGTTTATTTAAGCTGCTTATGCTGCAGGAAAACCGAGACAGATCAATCCTGTTATAATCTCTTTCATATTCTTGTTGTCCAGTGGCTTTGTCAAGCTGTGGAGCGCCCTCACGCTGCTGGGCTTCTACCAGAACAGAAGATGTGCCTTTCGAGTGCTGCAGGTAAAGCCCTGGGAGGCCACGTGGCCTCCCCGAGATGTCACTTCTGACAGTAGGATCACCTGGCTGTCTGATTACGCAGCCTTTTAACACAAAGGTGGCTGACACTTCCCTTTGGTTTGGGAGTGAAATGTTTTTCGCTGTGGGTGTGCAGGCCTATGTTTTAAGTAATGCATTCTTAAGTACTCTAAAATGAATGATCTAAACTTGTCACTTCTGGGTTGTCTGCCGCTTCCCTGCAGACTAAAATGGATATGATCTTTTAAAATCAAAGTGTGGTGACTGTTTCCTTATCTTACAGTTTCACTCTAGTGACAAGTTTTTTTCAGCTCTACTTTGAATGATTTTGATGGTTTTTGTAGTGTTTCACTGTGTTCTTTCTTTTTTTCCCCTCCTAACTAGACATCTCCATTTCTTCTTGCATTATCTGGGAACAGTAGAGAACTAGTGTTGGACTGATTATGCCGTTGCTGGTTTGGCTTTAAGAAGCAGAACTTGTTTGAGATGTTGCAGCTCTTCAGGTGTGGAATTTCTGGAGGGAATTTCCAGCAAAGAGCCTTGACAAAGCGCATCATTATCACCTCACTCCTTGGATGTCCTTTACTTCGACACTTACATATAAAAGTTGGAGACAAAGCTGAACTTACCAAAGCTTTTACACAGAATGATGTTGTTACTTTTTCTGATTTAACAGGTGACACAAATCCTTTACATTTAAATGAAGATTTTGCAAAGAAGTCTAGATTTGGGAGAACTATTGTACATGGAGTTCTGATCAATGGACTTATTTCTGCAGTTCTGGGTACTAAAATGCCAGGTCACGGTTGTATATTTCTTTCTCAGGAGATCAGATTTCCATCTCCTTTATATGTTGGTGAAGAAGTCTTAGCTGCAGCAGAAGTTAAACGACTGAAGAAATCTGTTGCACACATTGCTGTATCGTGTACGGTCAGAGCAAGTGGAAAGACTGTTATGGAAGGGATGGTGAAAGTCATGGTAGAGGAAAATTAGAGCTTTTCATCCTATGCCTCTTAATAGTAAAGGTCAGAAACATACGCTTGCTTTTGACTCTGTCTTTTTACATGACGATACTTAATCCAGACGGTTTGCAACAAAACCTTCCAAGTGTTTAAGAGACAGCATACGAACTGGTACTAACTGCATTAAGAAACTTTTTTTTTTTCAAGGGAGTCTGACAGAATTGACACTTTTAGACAAGCCTTTGCTATGCTGCAGTGATGGGCTTGTGTTGTGGTTATTATTTTGGTCAAAAACACTTTTGAGGAAAATAGACACTGGTTAAGATCAGTTAAAACTTTTTCACGCTTCACAGAAAACTTGTATTGATAATAAAAGCCTTAGGGAAGGGAAAGTGCTGCTCTTTAAGAAGTTAACAAACAGATAGAGGAAAAGGGTATTGATGCACATACTGCAGGATTCCTCCGTGTGATGCATATACCAGTTCTACCAGACATTGGTGCAGTGAACAATACTCTAACTAATAAAAGTCTTAGCTCCATAAATAAGCAGTAATCAGCCTTAATGTAAACAATTTACTCTCCCTGCTCTATCTTAATTTGATTCTTTCATTAATATTTTCAAATTCTTCAGTTATGTTACAAAACCTAAACAAACCCAGAAAATCACCTTAGCTGCCAATTGCCATTGAAATTTGCCTCCTAGAAGTACAACTGAGTGAAGGAAGGTCTCTGAAATACTTTGTGTGTGTGTAAATATATATATATATATATGTGTGTATATTTATATATATACACTTTCACTCGTTCCTTGTTCATCTGCCCCTCTAGGTCTGAAGTTACCCTGTTTATACCTAGTAATCCAGTCAAATCTGAGAAGAGGCAGTGGGTAAGAAATTAAGGCAATAGTTAAATCTGTATCTCGCATCCTGAGTAACAGTAGAGGGAGTCCTGGGATACCGAGAAGAGTCTTTCTGTTCTGGTCTGAGATCCAAGAGCTTAATCACAGCGTGTAGCTCATTTTCCTGTCAAGGTAGAGTTAAAGGAAAGCGGGGACTATTTACACTAACTATTCCAAGCATGTGACAGATTCTAACTCTGCAGCCCTGCATACTTACCACAACCGAGGTGAAATCTATTCCTGTTAAATAATTAACTTCCTGCAGCGTAAAAATACAAATACATTGGCAGCAGGTTCCCACGTGGGATCGCAGAGCACCCCTGCAGTGCTGCAACTGGAAGGAAATGAAGGTAGTGTTGGATTGAGCCCCAACACCTCAAATTTGGCATTACAAAACACATTTAACTGCAAAATTATACAACCCGAAAGATAAATAGAAAATAGGGAATATAAAAATTGAAGAGGGTTTAGGGGGGGGGGTCTTTTGGGGTTTAGGGGGGGGGGTCTGAAGCCTTTGGTTTTCCAAAGTCAAACCCTCGTCAAAAACCCGAGAGGGCTTCCAGCCCTCTCGGGTTTTTGACGAGGGTTTGACTTTGGAAAAGTAAAATAAAATAATAAAATAATAAAAAAAAGTAAAAAATAAAAATAATAAAGTAAAATATAAAATATAAAATATATAAAAATAAAAACTAAAATAAAAATAATACAATTAAATAAAATAACGAAATAATAAATAAATAAATAATAAAATAAAACGGAGAAATAGCTGCTGAGGAGCA